GTTTTTTTTATCCCACTCTCTGACACCAATTTGTTACGTCTCCGTTCGTTAGTTAATTTTCCGTAAATTGAATGTATGCTGACAGAATATTGTTGAACCGAGCACGTGAGACGTTCGTCGTGAATTATAGCGTTTGTTGTAGAGCGACTGTTGAAATTAAGTGTATCGCAAAGTTGTATTCAGAGAGAATAAACCAGTTTTATTTAAGAAAGGACTTGTATCGGTAAAGTTTCTTCGGTAAGAATTTTTCGGAAAATTAACTAACGAACGGAGACGTAACACTATTATCACATGCAATCCTCTTTGCTTTAAAAATTATCATATTTGTAGAAACGGATAGTCCTTGCCTTCTTTAATCCACAACCCATTCGTACAGTTTATTTGAAATATATATATATATATATAATGGTGCTATAACAAGGAATAAATTATTTGTAAAATATATATATAATATCATTTTTACCCCCCTCCTCCCACTGACAAGCCTGGAGGCTAAAAAGTTAAATATTTGGTTTTGATATTGCAGTGGGCGGAGCACAGATAGCCTATTGCGTAACCTTGCGCTTAACAACAAACAGTCATCCGTATGAAATGTATAGTCGATACCGCGACTGCAATAATAAGAAAAAGACAAACTATAATTTGTATTATAGAAGTATTACCTGATAATTTATAAAATTTGCAGTATATAAACTGCTTGATGTAACCTATTTAAAATTTGTTAAGTTATATGTGTACATTTATTTCTAACAAAAATATATATTTCGTTTTGGGAATTACGTGACGCTAATTGAAATATGCTGGTCATATTTCTGAGAAAACGTACTACTAGCTGCACATTTGTTTTCATTACTATTTTTTATGTTTTGTTTCTCAGTTTATTATTTCTCACACTATATCATAATTCTACTGCACGTGATAATAAATGTATAATATTTATGCAAAATTCATAATTTAATAACTGGTTTTTGTTTTTATTCCTACTGCGCATGTTAGTGTTATTGTATTGTATCACTATAGCAACCATAAGATTCTACGACCTAACTGGTACATACGCTTACCAGACGTAACGAAAACGCATTCCTGGTAACGTTTGTTTTTAAAAGGGTCCTTTAGAGCTGTAGTTAGAAGTAACAGTATAAATGGCAGACGAAGAACTAAATTGGATTTTTGATTCACTAGTAGGCTTTTTAAAAGGTCCTATATGGAATATTCCCATTTTGACTTTCCTTGAACAGAAATCAACAGGTACAAGCTGTATCTACTTAAGTTGTGAATGTAATTTAAATTACTTTAATGTCTTGAAATTCTTAACTCTAAGACTGAGGTCAATAATTAATGCAGTCGTTGTGTACTATAGGACATTATAATATCTGCTGCTTAACAGTGGTAGAGGTCATAGTTTAATAAAACGAGATTGGCTTTGTATTTAGTGTTTGTAACTAAACTGTTAGGAATTGAGGAAAACAAGACAATTGTACGTTTCACAAATACATCATTTATTCAAGACCATGGTTTCACCAGCAAAGGCGTCATCAAGTACATCTTTAATTATGGAGTTTGACCAAGTACCGACGGTTTCAAGTATCAATTATATAAACTGTTAGGTCTATGGTCTATACTTTATTGCATTTTTATAGACAGGTTAGTCATTATTATATGTAGCATTATTTGTTTCAGGACAAAACCACAGTGGGCTATCTACTGTGTCCACTGCGGGTAATTGAACCCTGAATTTTAGCATTCCAAGTTCGTAAATTTACCGCTGTCCAACCGATGGACATGTAGCATTAAACTGTGACAATTTTACAAATTTTACAACTGCTTTATTTGGTAATACTCTTAACTTTACGTTGTGCTGTAAGAGTTTGGTTGTTTCAAGTTCTTTAAAGTTTGTTTTGTGAGTAATGGATTTTAGGTTATTTGTATTTCATCGTGTCGTAAACAGTTGTCGGGATATTTCGTTATTGGTTGATTTAATACTACGTTATATTACATCATTGATCAAAAACTAGCATGTATATCTGTCAACTATCAGTGAAGACCACTATGAAAATATTTTTTTTATTATCAAGAATGCACAATATATGTTTTTAATTATTATGGCCAGATATCCATTAGGACAATTCAAAGTGCCTATTTTTCAATTTATTACTTCTTTACATGGCTTGGATTCGAAAGAAAATCAGCTTTGACTATTCTAGATATATAATTCAGGATTTTTATTCTTTTTTTCGACTTGTTCATACTTACTTCAACCCATTATAGCATTACATGTTCTCTATTGTAAACTTAAGAATTTCTTGTATGTTTTTTAATGTAATTTTTGTACTGCATGCTATTTTCATGTTTTTCCCCCTTGTGTAATAATGTTTGTCTCTGCAGAGAGACATACTATTTTTATATTGTTTCTTTTCTTCTTTCTTTCTCTTCCAAACACTTTTCAATTGACGCCATTCCTTCTTTTCTCGGTGGATTGGCATGAAAGTTGGTAGGGTTATACCTTAGTCCAATATGCCTAGAAACCTTTTTCATTTTTTGTGATTTGGGTCTTTTTATTGATTTTATAGAGTCAAAACTCAACTTCAAATTTTATATTTTGGCTCCTGTATGGTCATATTTACAGCAGTCAAGATGAAAATTGGAACAAATATAAATTTTCATGCACCCAACACACTGACAAAAAAAACAATTGGACTTGCAAATTTAGGGTCTTTTTAGGTGGTCAGAACTCACAAAAAAAGCACAATTTTGGGGATTTTGGTCCATTACTTGGTCATATTTTGACCAATTTATATGGGATTTGGTACAAAGATACTTTTCTACAGGTCCCACACATTGTTCATTTTTAGTAATTATAGGGGGGGAGGGTAAAAAAGTTAAACAAACCCCTAATTTTAGGGGTTTTAGTAAATTACTCAGCCATATTTTGCCAATTTGCGTGGGATTTACTACAAAGATACTCTTTGCAGGTCCCAAAAGGAGATTTAGACAATTTTGGAATATGTGTCTTTTGCTCAGTCTTTCACCAGGGAAAGTACAATTTGAGGTTTCCATGAACTATTCATGTGTGTGTCAACCAACTTACATGGGATTTGGTACAAAAATACCTTTTTGCAAGTCCCAAGCAGTGATATAGACAGTTTTCAATTTTTCTGGTGTCATAATTGGCCATATTAGAATTGCGTGGTGGAGACATGTTGCATTTGCCCAGCCCTTCAGTGGCACAATGGCATGTCTGCGGACTTACAATGCTAGAAACTGGATTTCGATACCCATGGTGGGCAGAGCACAGATAGCCCTTGTGTTGCTTTGTACATAATTAAAAACAAACAAACAAGCATTTGCCTGTGAATGTTAGCCTCTTTAATTGTATTTGGATTGTTTTGATTGTTTGTTATAATTTACCTACAAATAAAGAAAATAAACCAATAAAATAGGCAGAAAAACAAAAAACTTTTTCGAATATATAAGTGAATATCAAAATCATCCAGACGGTATCGAACTACTTGTAATTATGGCCAAAAATATGTTGCACCGATTATACCATACATAATACAAAAACTCATGACTACATTTATTGGATAAAACACTAAATAATGATCAGAAAGAACATAATAACAGGCCACCTATGACAGATTCTAACACATCACCGGATTATGATATCATAAGTGTATTGTAGGGTATTTATGTCAAATATGCGTTTGATAACTAAATTTTGTAAAAAGTGTCATTTTTACTAGTGATCTGTTGGTGGACTATAATGCAATCAAAGTGAAGTGGTGAATAGCACTAAATGCTTTAGTAAAACATTCATGAACAAGATCCTGAAGGGGGAAGAAGAATCAGTGTTTTAATTTAATATTTAACACCTGATTTCGTGAAGTTATTATAGCATTTGTCAGTTTTAATCAAAGAACTGTTAAGGAAGAGGTCTAAATTGTACTTGACCCTCCCAGGTCACGAACAACAACAACATGACCGAACACCGACCTGGACCAGACTTCGTCTGTTATATGAGAGTGCTCAAATCCATTGGTATAGAGTATGGAACAAGTAATGATATGTGCTACAGAAATATTTACAACAAACTATTACTTCTTCATTAAAATGCAAGAATGAATCTAGTAAAAAGCTACATTTATAATTAAAATATACAAGTTGAATCATGATTTACTATATATACCCCCAGTAGCTCAGCAGTTAAGTGAGGACTATGAAACTTTAAAAATTGGGTTTCGACACTCGTGGTAAGTACAACACAGAAAGTGTATTGTGTAGCTGTATAAATTACAACAAACAAATAATTTACTATAATATATGTACAAAAAAAGAAGAAGGAAAATTAGGGATCATTTTGTGTTCCGTACTATGAATTTTATTAAAGTAAACTGCTTTTACATGGGAAACTGATAATGACAAATTAAATGGATATCATGTATATTTTTAATATTTAACAATAATACTAACATGTGAAACTTGTAAAGGTAAGTAGTATATTTCTTTTTCATTCCACCGATAATACGTTACAGCATCCTAACAGTAGCCTCTGCCACCGTGTAAACATTAAACCAATATTTTATTATGAGAATCGGAAAAACTTATGCTTCAGTGTGACATATTTAAAAACTGGTATTAATATAGTATAATTATATCCTAAGTTATTCATATTATTATTCATTAGAGGATTTGTTGTTTTTTGCCTCTGTATTCTTTTCTTTTCAACACAATTTTTAGTTTTATCTTTTTTTTGTTGAAATTTTCCTTTAGAAATACAAGCTTAATGAATTGAACTAATCAGAAAGAACAAAAAAAAACAATTTTTAGTCAGATACTAGGTGACAGTCCTAAGGGCTGTGCTGACAGCTGATGTCCTTTCATGTGGATAGGAGGTACAAGAAAAGTTTCTTTACTGATGTTACCAGTGGATGATCTTTTAATTCTCCATATCTTGCTTTTCCTTGCTACACCATATAATACTTTGTTTCCCAGTAGTCTCATTCCCTCAGAATGTCAATTAAGACTTTCCGTGGGTATAATTGTTGCCTTGGTAGTACAGAGGAGGTTGATATCCTATCATTAAAGTTGCATCAGATTTGATAAAGAGACTTCTCTTCAAAGTATGACAGCATCCTTGTTTAGCTTTATCACTGAATGGTCTGGACACACATCCAGGGGATGATCTTACCATGCGGTTGCTTTGTGTTTTGCCATCCATTTAGAGCCAACTAATCTGAATTTTACACAGTAGAACCTGCGAGTCAGTCAAAACTTCATCTTGATGATGCTATCTATTTGTGGGTTGCTGCTTTCATAAATCCAAAGAGGAACTTGCTTCTACCTCCATATTTGTGATACTTGTGGGAAGCTTAAATGCTCTAGTAATGAACAGAAAAAGTATTAAAATTCTGTTGTTTTGATTTTTTTACAACCATTTGTAAAAATATAATCAGTAAGCTTCAGTTTAACTTAATGTATAAAATTTGATATTTTTATTGGCAAAAGAAAATGTTATTTTTCTTATCTTTCATTTTGTTTTTTGTTATTACAGTATTTGAACCAGGAACTGAAAATGAAGGAGAATATAAAAAGATTCATGAAGAATATAAAAACTTGGTAAGTAAAAAAAGAAAGAGATATTCAAGTGTAAGTGACATAAACATTTTTGACTTAAATTAGTCTCAGCATAAAATAATATGTTTCAGCATCCTAACAGTAGCTGCTGCCAACATGTAAACATTAAACCAATATTTTATTATGAGAATCAGAAAATCTTATATTTCAGTGTAAAATATTCAAGAAGTGGTAATAATATAAAGACCAAGTAAAACCAGAAAAGGTTAATATTCTGCTATTAGAATTGCACCAGATTTGATATAGGGCTTTTCTTCAAAGTGTGACAGTATCGTTGTTTTGCTTCCTGCATATGGAATTACAATGCTAGAAACTGGGTTTCGATACCCGTAGTTGGCAGAGCACAGATTGCCTATTGTGTAGCTATGCACTTAATTTCAAACAGACAAACAAACAAATCCTGCTATCCATCTAGGGACCAACTACTCTGAATTTAAGCTGATGTCCCTTCGTGTGGAGGCTGGCTGCCTTGCAAGAGGTAGAAGGAGGTTCTTTTGCTGATATTATCAGAGAATGAACTTTTAATTCTCCATATCTTGCTTTTTCTAGCTGCACTACATAGTGGTATTTAATTTTTTACTTAATTTTTAACCTTCAGTTATGTTTGTGTAGAAAAAAATATATTATTTTGCATAGTTCAAGTGGTTAAAACAGAAAGGTAAGCTTCTAGAAAATCCACTTATACCCTTATTTAATTAATAAGTTGTTTTCATAGGTGGACTTTATGTTGGGTAGCCATATGGAAGACTTAGGAATTAGTCCAGAGAAGTTTGAACAAGCCTGTGGGAAAGCTGATGGCAACATTCATTCACAGTTTCAACAGGTATAAAACTATGATAAATATCTGAGCACAGAGTGGTATGCAGTTCTATCAGATCAAGAACAGAAAACTGTAATGAAGTATCATGTAACATCTATCATAATGTTGAGATTGTTTCAAAAGTTACATATGTTGTGTTATATTTTGCTGACATATCTTACTTATTGTTATTTTTCACTGTTGTGATACAAAACAAGCTTACCTCACTGTTGTATTATAAAACTTACTTTTTTCAGTATTGCTAACTTTTCATTGCTGTATTACTCTGTTACTGGCATATTACAAAACTCACTTGTCCAGTTTTAATTTTAATTACTGTAATATAGAACTCACTTGTACAGTTTTACTTTTCACTGCTATAATACAGAACTCACTTGTCCAGTTTTACTTTTCACTGCTGTAATACCGAACTCACTTGTCCAGTTTTACTTTCTCGTTCAGTGCTGCCCTCTATGTGCAAAAAATATTTTTCGCATGCCACAATGGTTGTTGGTGCCAGCATGCCTCGCCATCAACGGGCTTTGGATCAATTTGCCTTGGCCTACTGTCAAGCTGAATGTACGTTTCTCGAATCTCAACACTTAGAATTGCTTTTACCCGTGTGGAGGCTGGACCCTGATTAGCCTCTTCATTTATCCCACACCCAATTTTTCCAACTTCATCTTACCCTATTGACTCTCTTATGGTACTTGTCGACCATCCATCTCCTTTCTGAGGCAATCCACAGAGATCCTGAGGGTTTTTCATGGGATAGCCTCTCCTTGATTACTGCCACATTGGCATGTTTATCTTCTTGGGCTCTATTTTACACGTGTGGTTTCTCTTTTATTGGGATTTCCTGGAGAGGGATGCTGCTTTGCCCCAAGTTTGTTTACTGCCTACTTATCTCCAGGACTTGTGTATGACCCCTTTTCTACAGCAGTAGAAGGCAGTTCGTGTAGGTTGTTTAATCAAATTGGAGAAGTCATTCCTTATACCTAGCCAATATCTTTTCCATTTGGGTGTCTTTTTCAACACTCATCTCAGTTGGGCTCAACCTTCTCCTATTTGACTTTGTTCAATGGAGCTTTCAGTTCTCCATTCCCTTATTGCTCCCTCTCTTACAGCTCGTGAAGATCTATTTGGACAATTCTACAGTGGTGACTTATATTAACCACATTCCATTTGTGGTTGAATCTTGGATCTCCTTTTTTGGGCCCACATGCTTGGTATTCATATCCTTGTTTGTTATGTTCTGGGTGCTTTCAATCTTGTTGTGGATCATCTTTCTCGTCCCGACAAAGTTTATCCGATGGAGTGGTCTCTTGATCCTCCTGTTTTCCAGTGACTATGCCTTCAGTGGGGTACTCCTCACCTGGATGTATTTGCCACATCTCTCAATACCAAGTTATCTCTTTTTTTGGTCTCTGATTCCTCATTCTTTTGCTCTGGCTGTTGATGCATTCAGTCAAGATTGGATGAATAAATATCTATATGTTTATCCTTCCATCCGTCTTCTTTACAGGGTGGTTTTGATCATCCATGATACTTCACATCATGTCCTTCTGATTGCTCTATACTGGCCAGCACAACCATGGTTTCTGCAGCTGCTCCAGCTCCATACTGCCCCTCCATTACCTCTTCCTTTTACTCCATCCCATCTATGTCAACCCCAGTCACTATCATTTCATCTAGCTTTTCATATCCTCAGTCTTCATGCCTGTTTTTTAATCTGATCCCTGGTGAGGAGATCCAGTTTGTCCCAGCAGGTTGCTTCTTTTTTAGCTTGTTCTATTCACCCTTCGTCTAGGGATGTTTATCAACATAAGTGGAAAGTTTTCTGGTGTTGGTCTTTGGGTCAAGGGTTTTACCCCCTGTTCCTCATATTATGGATATCCTCACTTGACTGTTTGATCTGGGATCTTCTGTTTCCTTGATTGCAGGTTATCATGTTGCCTTATCCCATACTTTTCGTTTTTCCAGGTACCATAAAGTTTTTACCTCTCCTACCCATTCCCTATTGTTGCATTCCTTCTGGATTAGTCATCCATCTCAGTGTGCAGTCCTTCTGGATTGGGATGATAATGTGGTTCTTCATTGTCTCACTTTGCCTCTGTTTGAACCTCTGTCTGTGTGTTCAGTTTTTCACTTATCCCTTAATACTTATTTCCTTCTCCTATGAGACGTTTCATGTACTCTGTATCATTCTACATATATTCTCCTTTATCCAGATCAATCTTTCCTTCCCAAAACTTCAGTGGCTCAGTAAGATGAATCCTCCTCTTTGCCAATTTCACTTCCTTCCATTTCCCACCTTTTTCCTCATTTGGATCCGGATAGGCTATTATAACCATTCATGCTCTTCATTGTTACTTTGCCCACATGGATTCCTTCCGTGGTGCCCATTCCTGCCTAATCATTCCTTGACATTCCCTGTTTGTGACCTTTCTCTTTCCACCCTGACTAATTGGGTTCAGTTTTTAATTCAATTGGTTTATTCTTCCTTATCTATTCTACCCATGATTTGTTCCAAGTGTCTTTTCATCAGATCAGGCAATTTACCTTTTCCTTGGCATCTCATCTCCATTGTCTCTTGGAGGAAATTCTTCAATCGGGCACGTGGACTATCCCACATATGTTCATATCATACTATCTGCATCAGATCGCTGTGTCTTCATCTTCAGGTTACTGTCTTCCACCAGTAGCCATTCTTCAGATTTTAGTGACACTGTGACTGGGTAACTTATCGTATATATATAAATATATATAACTTCTTTTTCAGGGACTTTTCCCTTTTCTTTTTCTTTTTACTGTCTGGATCCCACTCTATGGCGAGTTGTGCCTGACCGGGTATGCTTCAAATAGTTAAATCTGCATTGTCAGGCCATGTTGACTGCATATTTCTATTTTTCATGGCCATAAAATGCTCACTGTTGAGATGGGGTGTTCCACAAGATCGCTTTTAGGTTTTTCCTAGCAATATAGTTGCTTCATTAATATACCCTTTCTGGACCCTATTAACCCATAGACTTCATGAGTAAGGCAGAATGGGATAGCTGTCCATCCTTGCCTTGCCATGAATTGATCAAATCAGGTATGGTCCGCTTTTCAAAATAGGGTTTTCATGGGCACTCATTGCACTGTCTCCTGTGTTGATGTTCCTCTGGACTCTCCACCGCATTTTCTCCCCCTTTTTACCTCCAGTCGAGTATGGGAGTCTCACCACTGTCTAATTCCAAGCTGCTGGGATGGTGGGTCCTGGAGGCAACCTCCTGAATGTGATATTGATATATGATACAAATAATGTTATAAACATTCAATTGAGAGTAGGGTGGTGGTGTTATGCTGGTGTAGATGATATGTCCTCCAACCTGATGCTCCATCTCTGTACGGGTTTATCTGAGGGAATGTTGTATCTTTGGAGTGAGCCATCAAAATGCAGTTCACCCCTTTGATTGGGATCCCTCATCCTACCACCACATGGATGACAGTTCCCATTGGCTGGGTTTTGGATTCAGAGCTGAACCAGTCAACGTAAGTCCTCACATATGTCTTATAAGTGTTTATGTGCTTCATTCAATTATACTTTTGTTCCCTTGATTCGTGTTGTGGGTCACGGTGGTTGGACATGTAGATTAATATGGTTCCTCCTCTTATGCTTTCCCTTGATGTTATTGTGCTGGGGATGGTTCCTGTCAAATGGTTTTGAGGGAGCTAGTTTCCATTACCGAGACATTTTTCTTATGCCGATCATCCGGATGTTGGAATTCCAGATCAGTCAAACAGTTTATCACATTGCTGTCATGTGTACCATTCAGGGAGCAATGGGTTCAAGATTCCCTCCATTCTGCTGAACTTGAGGTGAAGACAGTATGATCCTCTTTCCTACCCCCACTAAATGGTTGGGTTTTGGATTGTAGTTGACTTACCAACAGTATGATCGTCATCCTACCCATGCATGGATGTCAATTCCCATCAGCTGGGTTTTGAATGCAGTTGACTTGCCATGTATGGTCCATTACACCAAAGCCACTCTACACCTAGGAGCACATCCTTGAATCTTACCCAACATTTCAGTACTCTATGGATAGTACTCTCTATCCCACCATTGTTCTCTCCTGTATGGATGTGCTCCTCTCTTTTTCCACCCATGTGTGAGATACCTAATTTCCACACTGGGCGAAGAGTATACTTAGTACAGATGTGGTGCAGTATCCCATATATGATCTTCTACTTTGAGAATCTTCTATTTTAGGGTGTTCTTCGGATGCTTTCAAGGATTGCTTCTTGTTTTTTTCCTCACATCGGTCCCTCCAACTATTCAATGTGGGATTCTAGCTATTTATTATAGTGGAGGTAATGTACAGTATCAGAAGGTATAATTTTCGTATACTGAAAATATATTTCCGATAGGTACTT